AAGTTGGAGATCGTAAACATGATCACCGGGCACATCTTGTATGACAGAGGTAAGTTTGAGATCCTAAACATGATCACCGGGCATATCTTGTATGACAGAGTTAAGTTGGAGATCGTAAACATGATCATCAGGCACATCTTGTATGACAGAGGTAAGTTGGAGATCGTAAACACGATCACCGGGCACATCTTGTATGACCGTGATAAGTTGGAGATCGTAAACATGATCTCCGGGCACATCTTGTATGACAGAGGGTAGTTGGAGATCGTAAACATGATCACCTGGCACATCTTGTATGACAGAGGTAAGTTGGAGATTGTAAACACGATCACCGGGCACATCTTGTATGACCGTGGTATGTTTTTGACTATATCGTGTATGACAGTGGTAAGTTGGAGATCGTAAACATGATCACCGGGCACATCTTGTATGACAGTGGTAAGTTGCAGATCGTAAACATGATCACGGGGCACATCTTGTATGACAGTGGTAAGTTGGAGATCGTAAACATGATCCCCGGGCGCATCTTGTATGACAGTGGTAAGTTGCAGATCGTAAACATTATCACGGGGCACATCTTGTATGACAGTGGTAAGTTGTAGATCGTAAACATGATCGCCGGGCACATCTTGTATGACAGTGGTAAGTTGGAGATCGTAAACACGATCACCGGGCACATCTTGTATGACCGTGGTAAGTTGGAGATCGTAAACATGATCACCGGGCACATCTTGTATGATAGAGTTAAGTTGGAGATCGTAAACATGATCACCGGACACATCTTGTATGACAGTGTTAAGTTGGAGATCCTAAACATGATCACCAGGCACATCTTGTATGACAGTGGTAAGTTGGAGATCCTAAACATGATCACCAGGCACATCTTGTATTACAGTGGTAAGTTGGAGATCCTAAACATGATCCCCAGGCACATCTTGTATGACAGTGGTAAGTTGGAGATCGTAAACATGATCATGGGGCACATCTTGTATGACCGTGGTAAGTTGGAGATTGTAAACATGATCACCGGGCACACCTTGTATGACAGTGGTAAGTTGGAATTTAGAATATCGTCTGGTGCCATAAAAAATATTCAACATATAAACTCATTCACCCCAACATTTTAAGAAAAGGTAAAATATTTGACAAAATTTTGTCCTGCTTTTCATTTGCTCATTTTTCAACAGATTTCTTTGAACCGCTTTGTGTAGTGGCATGCGCAGTACCATGCAGAATTGACAACCAGTCCTTTTTTGGCCTAACCCTTATGATTTAACATAAAAAATATGCCTTACAGTTTTGCCTATTCACTGTATGATTTTATCTCTTTTCTGCCGATTCCGAAAATTCATGACCGTTTCTGTATTCTTTTGAATTTTGAATAAGCCTAGTAACTGGAGAAAATAACAGGAAAATGTGCTCTCGATGAGAGAGATAAAATTGATAGTTCAGGTAGCCCACCCCAAAAATATCAGATAGCAATGCGATCAAAATTTAAACCAGAATACAGAGAAGGACATTTCCATTGTCATTGTACAATTGACGTGAATGGTGGGGGGTATACATCTTGTCCGCCCCCCCCGGGCTCAACGACGCCTCTAGTTTTTGCTACTTTCAGATCTGCATCAAATGATCATATTATAATCATCTATGTGCAGATAAATTATAAGGCTATGAAATGAGTATTGCATTTAAAATGCTAGTATTTTCTCACTACAAGAAACAAAATGTAAAAACTACATATGTTCCCTAATGCTCAGCTAAATAGTTTGGAACGTATATCAGGGTTTGTGGCCTGAGTATACCAGGTATGTTTTAGATAATGCTTATTTTCTTTGTCTATTTCAGATGACGTTGTTGCTATCTATAAACCCTATGGACTACCTTCTCATGGTAAGTTTGTAAAACTCTAAATGCAAACGAATAAGTCCACCTATGGGAAATGTGCCCTGAAATACTGGTAGCCACTAGTTGAGAAGCTTTTTTGACCTAAGGAAAAAAATATTTTTTATAAATGTAGTATGTGTTCTCATGGTGGTATTCTTTATTTTCATGTTTTCTCCTGAAAGTTCTACAAAGAGGGGCTGTCAGTTTTGAACAAATAAAATGTTCTTTCCACCAGCAGGCCACTTATTATTTGTTAAATGTTTTCTCCACCAGGGGGCCCTGGTGTAGCAATAAGTGTGGCTCACCTAATGGACCAAATAAGTGAGAGTCTGGGAGAGAGACAAAACCCCCTCCACATGGTCCACAGACTAGACAAAGACACAACTGGGGTCATGCTTCTGGCCAGGTATGTAGTTTGAAACCATTCTCATGTTCAAGCATGGATTCTGTGCTCAAGACAGCTTTCTTGGAAATCCCTTAAACTAGGTGTTACCATCATAAAGTCATTTCTTGTAACTCCCTTAAACTAGGTGTTACCATCATAAAGTCATTTCTTGTAACTCCCTT